AAATAGAACAAATTTTACATAAATAAAAAAAATTAAATTTAAAATTTCTGAGGAAGTTTCAAAATATTCGGGAAATTTGAATTTCCGATTTCTGAGGAATTCTTTTTATTTTCTAAATCTCTCTAAATCTGAGTTTGAACATTCAATCTTGAAATTCATAATCCTTCAATTTTCGTTATTATATTTGAAAGAAATTCAGTGTTTCAGTAGATAAGTCAAATCTATAATATACAAAATCATTATCGATAACATTAGCAAATATTTCGAAGCACAATTGCAAGCATAACAACGAAAGAAATTTTTCATAAAATTTCGATAAAAAAAAAAGTCTCCTGTTGACATGATTGTTAGATACCCCTAATTCTTACTTCCTTTTATTCCAACAATAAGAACGAAGATCTAACAACTGTCAATCAACTCTCACAGCTGAACAATTCAATCTTAGTGACAGAGATCACTCTGACATCATCAACCCCAAAATTACTCTCTCCAAAAAAAAAAAAAAAAAAAAAAAATCACTCAATTCCATGACTCTTCCAGTTAATCTCGCGTCCAATTCCATTTGACACAGTTTCACGAAATTTTTCACCGTCGAATCGTTACGTTACGCAAGAAATACCGATCCAAGCGAAGCGCCACAAATCGCGCCGTAGCTTTTTGTTCCCCGGAGCTTCGTCGAGGGGCTCGTAAATTTAGCGAAGCCCCATTATCCGAAAATACGTAAAATAAGTCGGACAAAATGATGCAAGAAATTACGAGAAGGTACGAGGGTGGATGCGGGTCGAGTCGAATAAATCCACGAGGGGAAAAGATGCGGCTCTCTCCGGCTACCAGAGGCGGCTAATGCGCTTGACCGAAAAATCTGTTTGTCCATCGAAACCCACGATAACTCTAAATCCCTTCGGGAGAAACGGAACATCTGCTAGTCGCGATCTGTCCATCGACGTTACTTCAAACCTGTATCGAACCGAATAGCTTAACCCGAACGAAACTTCGTGGAACAGGACAAACCGTTTCGAAACAGGCGATCACTCTTTACTTTGCGGATTGATAAACTGACTCGTTCTTCGTTGACTAATGTTACATCGTCTACCAATTCTGTTATTCTTCTTCTGTCGAAACAACAGTCTCTCTCTTTACGAAGGAGAAAGATGGTTCTGGGGTTTTTATTTTTTTTTTTTTAGTGACAGAAAGATGCTTGTGGTTTGATGAAAGTTTGACTGTTTGATTCTTATTTGGAATGGAATAATAATTGAAGGGTTCTATATTATAACGTTGTAAGTGGTAGATTTTCAGATACAAAAATATATCGAATTTTTGATTTTTGAGATAAAGTCTTCTTTTACAAAAATTGGTAAATGGCAAATTTTCTGAAATTTAGAAAGAACTGAATTTCTGATTTTTGAGGAAGGTTTTTCTATTTTCCGAAGAATCTTCATATTTGGAGATGGCTAGTTCTTGAGAGAAAGTCTTCATTTAGCAAAAGAGTAAATTATGTGAAATTTGAATTTGAAGAATTATTGATTATCGTTGAATTCTCGTTGAGATAGCAATATCACAACGTTATAAATATAATTGCTGAGGATATTGGAGTAATCTTATCACTCCGCAAGAAGAAAAAGTATTTTTTAAATAAAAATTATTTTGCAATAAAAAAT